TATTCAGGTTAGTTTTGGTTACTACAGAAACCCAAAGTCTGTTGCACTATTTCAAATCTCCTGTCAACATGTCTATCTTAGTACTTCAAGAAGGAAGCACAGTTCTAGAATTTTCTCTTTGGGAGAGACTTTTATGACCATGATATATTTAATATTTTCTTCAAGGATTTATTTTTAACCAAGGCAATCACACTTCCAGAAATACAATGAAAATCAAAAGTTAAGACTAGTATTTCCTTTTTCTTAGGCTTTAACCTGAGAATTGTAACAAGTTGCACATCTGGGGAATCACAGGCTAAAATTACAGGACATCTGAGTGTCCCCTGACACCTTCCCAGAATAGTAAGAATTTAACAGCTGACAGATTGAAGGTACTCTGAAAGCCCTTTATCTACCTGCACAGAAATATCCCTTCATTCTTTTAAATGAATTGGATGCCATTAACTTCAGGGAGAAAAATTACATTATTACAGCACCAGTATAAAGTCATGTAAGTTAGACTTTTTGGTAAATGTAACATTAAGGAGGATATTGTATTTTGACATATCCAGTAAATACTAAGTAAGCATCTAGTATGTGCCAGAAAATGTGCTGTGTGCTATAGATACTAAGATGAATGTCTGTATCTTAATGTCAAGGTGTAGCTTTGGATATAATGTAGTAATGGGATTATACGAGGATGTGGGCAGTGGCACCTTGCTAGGAAGGCTGGAAGTTGGGAGGACATTCCGGGAGTCTGAGTACTATTATTACTGGTTCTACCTGAAACTCCTGCATCTTCTCTGAACCATGAAAGACTAAGCAAAACTGCCTTTATTATTGGATGATGAGGAATCAGTGAAAAGAGAGAACTCAGAAGATGGTGCAGACTTAAAATGGTTCTGATTAAGGGTTCACAATAAGCCTCTGATTTGGCTGTGAACTGATGCAAGGAAAATGAAAATAACAAAGGCCATCCATTGCAAAGTGTTTTCCTTCAACACATACACATTTATGCTAGCTTTGCAGAGAGCAAGAGTTAAGTGGAAAGATATAGCTGGCCCCTGTAAGTAACCATTCTTAGCAAAGCATTTTAGTCTATAAAGAAACAGTAAAAAGCCATTAAGATGTTGCTGAAACAGTAAACAAACTTCATGAATCATTTTAAAAATAGGATGCTGCATATAGATCAGATTGCAAAATTTCCCTTGACATACGCTTGTATATCAGCACATTTCCCGCCATTATTACAGAAATACTCTACATATTTGGCTGTTCAAAAGGACCATAAGCTAACAAGCTGATTGATATTAGTTAGCACTATGGGGTAGGAGAAACAGAAAATCTTTCTTGAAATAGGCCGAATGGAAGGATTGTCAGATCCTTGTTAAGCTAAATTCCTCCAGGGAAGAGTCATGCATCACCATCTTGATTTTTACAGTAGCTAATTATTCTTAAAGTTACAATGTCCAGTGCCCTTCCAGTTGGGTAAGACTTGTGAGATCATAGGGAATAACTCTCTTTTTGTACCGGGAAGAAAACTAAGACCCAGGAGGATGAACTTTCCTGTAGTCATGTTTCACCACTTGTACTGAAGACTACAAATTAGGCACTAGGGTAAAATAAAATCCACTCTCATCTTGCTGTTCCAGCTGGTAAGATCTTGCTCAGCTCTTACCTAAATTACTCTTAGCAAAATTCAAGTTTTCAGTCTTTCCTTAAATTAAAGGGCTCTAAGAGTCAGCTTTGAAACTGGATTCTTTATTAGATTAGCAGCCCATGTAGGGAACAGGGCAAGTGAATGAGGTCCTTCACAATGCCAATCTCTGAGGTGAAGTCCAGAGAAGTTGTCCTGTGTCTAAACAGAGGGGACTGGTGTGCATTGGTCAGATTTGTTGACTCCAACATGATAGCCACAACAGCAATAAGTATCTGATATGATGGTGGACGGGGAGACAGTGGATGGGTAGATAGTGATATTTAACTTTTTAGGAGCTTTGTTTCTTGGGGCTACTGGATTGAACTTGGCTGGGGACTTGTTTTGTATTTATGAAAAATTCTGCTTTCTCTTTTTAGGCTTGCCCCCACGGCTTCCTGGCATTTTAGCTGGCTCCCTCTCTTTCACCCACACATGCAATCACTGCTTAGTCATTTCAACAAGAGAGAAGGAAAGCTTTGAAGAAGAGAAGACAAAATAGTTTACATATTTTGGGTATATACTACACTTTCTTCCATACAGTCTGCTGGGAATTTAGCCTGTGCACTACTGGCACCCTACCCCACTGCACCCCACCCCATGTAGGGCAGCAACAAAAGACTGACAGAATTTTCTGTTCCCTGGTTCATCAAGGCTTCATTTTCAAATTTCCTTCACGGAACGCTAGAGAAGGGAAAAATTCCAAGTTCAAACTGGACGAAGAGTAAAAAAAAAGTCTATATCTTTTTTTAAAATAAGACAGCCCTTTAGAACAGGGAGGCAAAGTGGCATAGAAAGCAACTAGCATACCACATTTTGCTTATAACAATTTCCTATCTCTGATACTGCTATGGAGAGAATTTTCATGCTTGTCTCTTGGCCGTCTCCTGTGATTCTATATGCTCCCTGTTATGGATTAAACTGTGTCCCCCTAATATGTGTTGGGATCCTAACCCCAATACCTGTGGATGTAATCCTATTTGGAAATAGGGGTTTCCTTGTTATATTAATTAGACCACACCTAAGAAAAACCAAAAAAACTAAACTCGTTGCTTTCGAGTTGATTCCAACTCATAGCAACCCTACAGGACAGAGTAGAACTGCCCCATTGGGTTTCCAAGGCTGTAATCTTCACAGGAGCAGACTGCCACATCTGATGGGTTCTAACCGCTGGCCTTTCGGTTAGCAGCTAATACCCAAGTAAGTAGGTTCTAAATCTTCTCACTTTTGAGTTATACAAACAGCAGATTAGACGCGGAGAAATGCACACAGAGGAGAAGACAGAGGCCATGTGAGGATCACCAAGGAACAAAGGAACGCCTGGGACTCCCTATAAGGAAGGAATCGACATGGCTAAGATCATGATTTAGACTTTTAGCCTCCAGAACCTTGAAAAATTTCTGTTCTTTAAAGCCATTCACTTGTGCTATTTCTTTTACAGCAGCACTAGGAAACTAAGACACCCCCTATAGACAGGACCGGAACTTCCTACATACCTTTTTCTCCTCCCATTATATAAGAAACAGCACATAAGTGCTTCACCCAACCACTAAAACCTCAGGCATCTCTTCAAGCTTCTCTTTTCTGCTTGGCTCCTGTGACCTTCATTTCCCTTCACAAATCTTACCCTGTTCACAAATAATCCTTTATCCCCACACGATAATCAGATGGCATAAGCAGTGCACCTCTATAGTTTATTCCTCACAATCTTTTCAAATAGCCTACACTTAGCAGAGGACATCTGCAATTTAAACAACTCTTCTAGCATTCATTATTGCTGGTAATTGCTTCTTAATGAAATGATGCAAAGTCAGTGGACTAAGATCTCTATTCAATTTCTTTCCCCAAACAGACAGTCCTTTGGGGCCAACCTTCATCTTCTCTCTCTCTTCCTCTCTAGAAAGCTTATTTTCTTTTAAGGTGCATGTATGATAGCTTTCAGATTCCACTGTCATCAGGGAAAAGCCACGTGGGTCTCTTGCTGAATCTCTATGGCAGGGCTGGATTGGGGTCCGTGCCCAGGCCACAGTAAAGTACAGAAGGTAAATGAGACCATCTGCTTCATGAGGGCAGCAGCAGTGTTGTCTGGTTCGCTACATGGTTCCATCATCTAGCTAGGTCTGCCCCATCATAGACAGTAATAATTTACTGGCTGAGTGAATAAATGTAATGAATAATAAATGAAGTAGAAAATTAAGGAGTTACAAGAACCAAGTTCAGCTTACCAGGCCAGTTTCAGAAACATGGACATCAGGTTCTTAGAAAGGGGAAGCACAGGATTGCAGAAGGTACAATTACAAGACAGAGAAAACCTCTAAATCCCTTAACGGGTGGATGTTCTTGGTGAGACAATCTTTTCATTAGCCTGGCTCTTGCTCACACTTCGCATCAAACACACAAAATGTTCAAAAGAAAATCCCTCAGTCAGAAGTTTAATTAGCATTAAACTTCTGTAAGACATATTAGTAAAGGTTGGAATTTATTTCTGGCCTACTTTATGGTAGCATAATTTACAAATATTATCTTGTTCCCTGCAACAACCCTTCAAGGTGGCCATTAGTTTTATTTGTTTTCAGATGCAGAAATTACATACAGAAAGGTTAAGCAGCCTGCCTAAGTCTATCTATGCCCAGGATCCAGCATTCAGTCTGGATTCTAAGTCTTAGTTCTTTCCCCTACTACAGTGCATTACACTAAGTAAGCAATATGTCAAACACCTAGCTAGATAGATTAAAAAATAATAACAATAATTGTCATTTTGAGTATCAAACTGACCAAATAACTCAGCCTGTGGTGTCAAGTAGAGATTAAATTCTTGAAAATTTAACTCAACTAAAACTCTGACCTTAGTACCAAAACCTGTTGCTGTTGAGTTGATTCGGACTCAGATTGACCCTATAGGACAGAATGGAACTGACCTACAGGGTTTCCAAGGCTATAATAGTTACGGAAGCAGACTGCCACATTTTTCTCCTGTGGAGCGACTGCTGAGTTCGAACCCCCTACCTTTTGATTAGCAGCTGAGTGCTTAACCATTGAGCCAGCAGGGCTCCTACTGACCTTAGTTGGTTTCTATAATTAGATCCATTAGCACTATTTGAACATGTATTAAAAATTTATGAATATGAATGGTCAACCCATTTTAAGAAGAACAAACTTAGCAGTCATTTTCCAAGAGACTACAACAACTGCAACAAAAATAAAGTCAGTGTTGGGACAGAGTAAAAGATCTTCAATTTTTTCCCCAGCCAGCCTAAAGAAATTAGAAAAGGCATTCCTACTTCCCGAAAACAAGCGTAAGCAAGTACGTAAATTGCACTCTTACCCTTGTTTTGGCATCAATTTTAGCTCCTCGATCAAGCAGTAGTTTTACCATATTGGCATTTCCTCTTTTTGACGCAACGTGCAAAGGAGTGATGTCGTTCTGTGGAAGAAGAGAAAGAACAGCAAAGTTTTGGTATCCTCAGTTTAACCAAAATGTTGCTTCCTACCACCTCCCACAACATGCCCCAGTTCTGTTTCTTCTTGTGAACAGTATGCTTCCCAACACTTCTCTCTGACATGGTGATTTTCTTTAGAAGGAGGCTCAAAAGAAGATGTGAATTTTAAGGGAAACACTCTGAGGGGTGAGGCCCAAGTATAAGTATTTCATTTGCCTGAGGTGATTCATGGATTAAATGATGGTTTTTCTGTGTGTGTGCTAAAATCCTATATCTTTAAGTCAGTGTGTTTTCCCACAAATTTGTCATACATATTGGCTAATGTGTGGTTGACTAGCAAGTGGCTGACTAAGTCAGCCCAGACTGAGTTAAAGGAGTGTTGCCTTACTCAGAGCCTTCCTTCCCTAAATTCAGTTTGAGCATCAGGTTGTCAAGGACAGACCAGAGTAACTCAAGGTGGGAGAGCAATAAGTACGTACGTAGTCAGAGGATTTCCCACGTCCATTGGACTTAAATGTGTCTATGGGCATTTATCAGCAAGCTCACAGAAAACGGACTGTGATTTTTTTAAATTACTCTTAAGGAACAGCCATTTGTTAGGACAATCCAAAATTCCAATCATGTTCTCCCTGATTTCAAAGGTAGGCTACTTTAACTCCTTCCTCTGAGCATCTTATGTGTGCTAGGAATATTTCCAGAGTGTAAAGAAAATTGTGTGCATCTGTTGAAAAAACCCCTATTTGGTGCCTTATTCCTATGAAGCAGCAATATGGGTTTAAGCTCTATTGTTCCCAAAAGGCAATTCTATGAGAAATGATATAGGCTCAAAAGCGTTTATAGTTTTATAATTTGATAAAAGATACATTATAATAGCTAAGCACTTTACTTATACAATCTTATTTAATCCTCATAATCTTTACAAGGCCATCCACAATCTGAATTAAACCAAATCCTGTTGCCGTCTAGTTGACTCCAGCTCATGGTGGCCCTATGTGTGTCAGAGTAGAACTGTGCTCCATAGGGTTTTTAATGGATGATTTTTCAGAAGTGGATCTGTAGGCCTTTCTTCCAAGTTGCCTCTGGGTGGACTTGACCCTCCAAATTTCCAGTTAGCAGCTGAGTGCATTAACCATGTGCACCACCCAGGGAGTCCACAATCTGAATTACAACTCCCATTTTACGGATGCAGAAACAGCTGGCCAGGTCAGGAGTCAAACTAACATCTGACTCGTCGATTCACGTTTGTTTGTATGTTTCCTTCACGTTGTATAATGAAAAATTTCACACATACACAAAGTTTGAGGTAAAACCATAATGAACTTCATATACTCACCACCCTGTTTCAGTATTTACCAACTTTTATCCCCTAATGTTTTTTCTTTGTTGAAGTAGTTTAAAGAAAATTTCAGGCATGATATTATTCTACCTATAAATACTGCAATTTAAATATCTCTAACAGATAAGAATTTTTAAATAACATAACCATAATACCATTCTGTTAGCTAAGAAAACAGAAATAATCCTTTAATTTACCTAAGATTCATCCACGTACAAATTCTCTTATTATCTCCAATCGTCTCAGTTGGTTTTTTTCAAATTAGAAGGTTTGCATATTATATTAGGTTGAAATGCCCTTTTTAAGTTTCTTTTAACCTCCACAGTTCCTCTAGCCCACCTTCTTTTTTTCCATGTCCATTTATTTACTTCAGAAATTGGGTAATTTATTGAGTAGAATTTTCCACATTCTGAATTTAGCTGATTACATCCTCATGGCATGTTGTTTAACAAGTTCTTTTTCCACTGTATTTTCTGTGAAATTTTTTAGTTAAATGTTTTTAACCATCATACATTCTCCCACTTGAAGAGTTCTTTATTTCAGTATTTGTAGGTGTAAAGTATAAATCAATAATTCATTCATTAAATAAAAGAAAAAAAAAACCTGAGTGAAACAAATTGGCCTCAGCAATGCAAATGAAGAGTGGAAAGGACTATCATTGCTCTAGACCATGAGTACCAACAAAAAAAACCCAAACCTGTTGCCAACAAGTTGATTCTGACTCATAGGGACCCTATAGGACAAGAGTAGAAACCCATAGGGTTTCCAAAGAGTGTCTGGTGGATTTGAACTGCTAACCTTTCGGTTGGCAGCCAGCTCTTAACCACTGCACCACCAGGGCTCCAGGCCAGGGTTAGGCAATTCTTTTTTTTCTCCCAGAGGGCCAGACAGCAAATACTTTCAACTTTGCAGGGCATGCACTCTCTATTACAACTTCTCAACTCTGCCACTGTGGCACAAAAGCAGCCATAGACAAGAGGTAAAGAAATGAGACTGGCTGTGTTCCAGTAAAACCTTATTTACAAAAAAGGCAGAGAGCTGGATTTAGCCCACAGGCCATAGTTTGCTGACTCCTGATCTAGACGCATCAGTTTATGCCTGAAGACTTCAACTGCTTGTAATGGGTTACAACAGACAAAGTGACACTCTGTGCTGTGCATTGTGTATGCTTTGGTCCTCTTTGGTGTGGATCATTCTTTTGTGTGAGTAAATGCTGGCAGAAGGAAATAAAGTTCTTGATGACTTTTAATTTTTTTTTCTTGTGTGTTTGTTTACTGAGTGCTAGTGTGTTTTGCTCTGAAGACCTAAGCAGCACAGCAGATCTATTCTAGACCTGAGGTGACAGGTGGAGTATCAGGTTAGGAGCATAGGAAACATAGTCTAATAGGAGAGGTCACTGAATCTCTGGTGGGATATAGCTCAAAGAGCATAATGAAATGACAAGGCAGTGCCTGAGAATTGGGAAACCTAGCGTATTGGCCAACCCCTAAACTTTTTGACTCTTAAGAAAATAACTTAGCCTCCCTGGCTCTCTTCCTTATCTGAAAGACAAGTGTTTAGACTGGATGAACTTGGAGGTCTTCAGCAGTTAAAAAACAAAAACTTCTGAAATGCTATGTATTCCATTATTTTGAATGTTCTATCTTTGATACAGGAAAAAATATTTTATTAGTAAGTGTCAGGCTATAGGAAGTTAAACCAATTTAGTTAGGAGTTGAGCTGAATTTGCATTTTGTTTCAGAATACTTCAGACTTCAAGTTCCTCTAGAAGTAGCTTGCCAATGCTTCATGCTTAGGTGGTGGCTGAGGTGTTAGAGGATTTTAGTCAGTGCTAGTCCTCCACCCTTAAGGAGTCCTGGTGATGCAACGGTTAAGCCCTAGGCTGTTAACCAAAAGGTTGGCGGCTCAAACCTGCCCAGCGGCTCCACAGTAGAAAGACGAGGTGGATTGCTCCTGTAAAGATTACAGGCTACAGCAACATGGCACCCAGGGACAGATGCACCATGCCAACCCTCTGCAGCAATGACCCAAAAAACTAAGTAAAACAGTTACAACAACATCAAAACAATAAAATGGGGGAATAATTGGTGTAGGTATAGAACATTCAAATGGAGAGGAAGTCAAGGTGATATCAAGTAATAAAAGACTGGTTCAACTTAGAAAGATAAGAGTAAATTTCAAGGTAATCACAAAGAAAGTTAACAAACCTATTCATCAAAATAAAAAAGAAGAAAAACATAAAGACTCAGTAAACACAGAATCTATAATAGTGAAAGAAAAGAAAATCCACAAGCAAAAAGAACTCAGCACAGGAAAGTAAGAACAAAGAAAGTGTCAACACCACAAAAGAAAAAGCACAATATGATAGCAATAATACCTATTGATAATCACACTGAATATAAGTTGCTTGAATGCACCCATAAAGAGAGAGAGTGAAAGAATAGATTAAAAAAACATGACCCATCAATATGCTGTCTACAAGAGACACAAAGACGTAAATATATTAAAAATCAAAGGATGGAAAAAATATATCAAGCAAACAGTAACCAAAACAGCAGAAGTGGCAATACAAATTTGAGATAAAATAGACTTTAACGCAAAATCAACCATAAGAGACAAGGAAGGACATTATATAATGATTACAGGGTAATCCACCGAGAAGACATAACCCTAAAAAATATCTATACAGCCAACAACAGGTTTCCAAAATGCATAAAGTAAACTCTAACAGCACTGAAAAGAGAAACTGATGGTTCCACAAGAATAGTAGGAGACTTTAACACACCACTTTTGGTAAAGGACAGAACATCTAGAAAGAAATGCAACAAAGATACAGAAGATCTAAAGGCTACAATCAACCAAACTGACCTTGTAGACATATATAGAACACTCCACCCAACAGCAGAAAACTCTACAATCTTTCTCAATGTATATGGAACACTCTCCAGAATAGATCACATTATAAAGCAACCCTCCATAAAATCCAAAACACTGAAATAATACAAAGCATTCTCTCTGACCACAACGTCATAAAAGTAGACATCAGTAACAGGAAGAGCAAGGAAAAAAAAAAGAAGAAATACATGGAATCTGAATAACATTTTGCTTAAAAACATCGGTGTAATAGAGAAATAAAAGAGGAATAAAAAAATTCCTAGAATCAAATGAGAATGAATACACATCATGCTAAAACCTTTGGGACACAGCAAAGTGAGTGCTCAGAGGTCAATTTATAGTAACAAACACACCCATCAAAAAAGAAGAATAGGGCAAAACAAAAATGTTAGCCCTACAACTTGAACAAATAGAAAAAGAGCAGCAGAAGAAGCCCATAGGCACCAGAAGAAAGGAAATAATAAAGATCAGAGCAGCAATAAATGAAACAGAGAACAGAAAAACAATAGAAAGAATCAATAAGACCAAAAGTTGGTTTTGAAAGAATCAACAAAATCAACAAACCATTGGCCAAAATAACAAAAGAAAAACAGGAGGAGAAGTAAATAACCTATATAAGAAATGAGATAGGGGATACTACAACAGACTCAACTGAAATAAAAAGGATCATAACAGAATACTATGAAAAATTATACTCCAACAAATTTGAGAACCTAGAGGAAATGGACAAATTTCTAGAAACACACTACCTAC